CTTCGAAGCCAAAAACTGCTTTCCGTACGCCTCAGGGACATTTTCAATTTAACTGTCTTCCCATGGGTTTGAACTCCGCTCCCGTCACGTTCCAACGCCTAATGGAGCTGGTTTTGGCTGGATTGCAATGGGACGCGTGTCTCATATACAGTCATACCTCGGTATACGACCGCTTTGGAATACGTCGAATTTGGTATACGTCGTGTTTTGATGATAAAAAAATGTCTTGGGATACGACGTCTTGCTTGGGATACGACGCGCTGGCTAGAACTTGTATGGGTCATGATGAGTCACTGCGTACCCATGTATACCCCATTCACGACTAAAACAAAGCGCCGCTCCTCAATCTGCCTTTAGATCTCGTTCAGTGCACAACCCTTGCTATAACTCTGTGAATTTTCACGTGTTTTTTGTCATTTTAACGTAAGCTATCAACTCCTCTCAGGACGGTAAAGTGATGTTAAACATTTTTTTTATTTCAATTTATTTTTATTTATGCATTTATCTACATTTATATATGTATTTTAGTAATAAGTAGTGTCTAAATTATTTTATACAACCCCATTAATGTATAATATGCCATATAAAATATAATTTCTTATACTCTGGAACGGATTATTTTCTTTCCCTTTTTTTCTTATGGGAAAAATTCGTTTGGTATACGTCATTTTCGGTATAAGTCCTACCTTCTGGAATGAATCAATGACGTATACCGAGGTACCACTGTACTTAGAAGACGTTATTGTGTTCAGTCGTACGTTCGAGGAACACCTTCGGCGATTGAAGGCTGTTTTCGACAGGATGCGTTCCGCCAATCTCAAATTTAAACCTAGAAAATCTCATCTTTTGCAACGTTCCGTGTGTTACTTAGGACACATTGTCAGCTCCGACGGTGTCGCCACGGACCCGGACAAAACTTCTTGTGTTCGTGACTGGCCGACCCCAACTACCATGGGGGATGTGCATAGTTTTATCGGGTTCGCGTCCTACTACCGTCAGTTCGTTCCAAATTTTGCTACCATCGCAAAGCCTCTACACGTCCTCACGGCAACGAATCAGAGGTTTAAATGGGGGATGGAGGAAGAGCAGGCGTTCAGGGCCCTTCGGGATCGATTGGCGATCGCGCCGACGCTTGGTTACCCTGACTTCTCCTTGCCGTTTATCCTGAACACGGATGCCAGCAATACTGGCACCGGCGCCGTTTTGTCTCAGTCCAAAAATGGCGTGGAGAAGGTTGTTGCATATGGTAGCCATGTCCTCTCTCAGGCTGAGAATCGCTACTGTGTTACGCGTAGGGAACTATTGGCGATTGTCCATTTTGTTCGCCAATATCGTCCTTACCTGTACGGCAGAAAATTTCTTGTACACACTGACCATGCTGCCCTACAGTATTCCTTGAAGATTGAACAACCATCTGACCAGCTGTCTCGATGGTTTGAGACGTTACAGGAATTCTCCTTTGATATACATTACTATAAAGGTTCTCGGCATAGTAATGCGGATGCGCTCTCCAGGTTGCCACAGGTATCCCCTTGCGCGTGTGCATCAGGCACTAATCGGTGCACACGTCCCCCTCAGCTCCCTCGGCCTGTCATGTCCGCGGTGGCAGATTCCGCGGAGCATGCCAGCCTGGGGCCGGCTGACAGTGCGTTGCACCTGCGAGCAACTATTGGACGATTCGTTGGGTTCATTGCGATGTCGGGCTGACGGGTCGCATGTGTCATCGTCCAAGGACGACTCACCACAGGCGGCTTTCCAGGACGGGTTGTTGATGTCGAGAGACGATTTGTTGGGCCGTTGGAGTCTGGTGGTTCCCGTCGCGCTTCGGCACGAGTTGATTCGAGTGTTGCACACTGAGAAATTGCTACACCTGGGCATGCAGAAAACCTTGCTCACGCTACAGAGAGATTATTTTTGGCCGGGTATGACGGCCGATTTCGCTAAGGCTATCCAGGCCTGCCCCGAATGCGCTTGGCAGAAACCACCGTGCCAGAAATATATTCCACCCTTGAAATATATTCAAGTTACACGGATTAACAAAATGGTGTCTCTTGACATCCTCGGGCCTTTTCCTCCTACCGCCAGAAGCAATAAATTCTTGTTGGTGGGGGTGGAATATTTCTCACGGTGGCCGATGGCTTGGCCCTTGCCCGATCAATCGGCGTCTTCCATCACGGATGCATTTTTGAACTGCGATGTAATTAACAAAGGTGCACCGGAACAACTGCTTACGGACCAGGGCCGTAATTTTTCGTCTAAGTTGCTACGTGATGTGTGTGATGCCTTGGGCACTAAGAAGATACGGACTTCGCCTTACCACCCGCAAACGGATGGGATGGTCGAGCGATTGAACCATACCCTGTCGGCCATGCTCTGCCACACTGTAAGTGAAAAACAGGCCGATTGGGATCTGCACGTCCCTAGCGTGCTCTCTGCCTACTGTATGGCCCCACATGCTTCCACCGGGTACTCTCCATTTTTCCTCATGTATGGACGTGAGAACTTACCACCGATTGGCGTGAAACTGGGAACACTCACGAAAGGGCCTGCGCAGACCCTCCCCAAACACGTCCGCGACTCTGTCCGCCATGTCACAGAGGCACGGGAGGCGGCACGAATCGGCACGGCCAAAACCCAGGCTCGTAATGAGTGGTGTGCTCGTCGGTCGCATCGCGACATGCTATGGGCTGTGGGCGACCGGGCCTGGCTTCATTGCCCCCAGGTGCCGGTGGGCACCTCCCCCAAGCTACACAGGCCTTGGCAGGGGCCTGTCGAGTTGATAGATATTCGACATCCTCAATGTGTACGTATCCGTGCGGGTCAGCGCCGTTGGTATGTCCACACATCCCGGTTAAAGCCTTTTTTCCTCCGCGCATCGATCCGTCATCCCCAAAGAGTACCTTGCCGGTGTCTGATGCATCTGACGTGCCATTCCAGTTGCCGGTTGATCCCCTGAAGGGGCCTGTTTTGCCTCCCACAGACAAGCACACCCTGAGGACTCCTGTTGCTGATGACCCTGCTCCGCCCATTCCTCTGCACTTCCGCCTCCCGCTGTGTCGCAGCCAGCTGACCCTCGTGCCAATGCAGATGGGCCAACATCACGTACTCGCTCGAAATCCGTTAAATTCCGTTGAGGTGTCCCAGTTGCTTGCCGTTACGCTTGTTGCGTTCGTTATGCATTTTGTTATTGTCGTCTGCTCTTGATTTGCGATGTCTCTGTCATATTACTGGTTTTACCCCGTTCCTAGCTGGGACGGCTAGTCTTTTACACCGGGGGGGGGGGGGGGGGTGATGTAATAGGAGAGTACACTGACAGGCACCGTCCGGCTGGATAGGCTCCGCCGCATCATCCATTAGCCAATCAGGATTGAGTGGGGATCATCTGGGTCAAGTTCAAGGGCGGAGCTCAAGGGTGCTTGCGGGAAACCATCGGGAAGGTTCTAGAAGGGGTGTGGTTAGAGGCGGGGCTTGGCTCCGTGTCAGAGGGATATAAGGGGAAGCAGGAAGGGGCTCGAGGTCAGTGTGAGAAGTCTTGAAGCGGGACCACGTCTCGCGCCTCTGGAATGCCAGCGGCCACGTGGCCATCCGGGGGGTTGTCTCCTTGCACGCCGCCAGCCAGCGGTCCGAAGGAGCAGAGAGCGTGAGCGAGCCGTGAGGGAGACAACACCAACTTACGCCGCGCAACGAGGATTGTGCAGTGATTGCTTGGAAGGGAACGTGGAGCTGTCCAGCCATTAAAGAAATAAATAAAGAAGACACAAGTCAAAGATCGTCGTCGAAGTGATTTATTACACAGATACAATGTAAGGCTGATCGATGCTCAGGTGCGGTCAAGTGATGGCACCCTATTGCTCAACCATGTTATGTATGCCGATGATCTGGTAATTGCTGCTCACTCAGAGGAGGAGTTGGAGGTGCTGCTGCTGAACCTGGCGCTTGCCACTAAGAGGTGGGGCCTTACCATCAGCCCACCAAAACTAAGCACCTGCCTGGATATTTTGTACCATCGGACATTCCACCCCCACAACTCCCAATTGGTGATGGAGCAGTTGTGGAGAGAGTGAAGAGTTTCCCATATCTGGGCAGTGTGCTCATCACCGGCTCCGGTTTAACAGCAGAGGTCTCACTCCGAATCAGTCGAGCGGCATTATCTTTTCATTGGTTGTGTAACGCTGTGTGGAAGCTACCTGGTCTGTCGCTCCGCATTAAGCTTCAGGTCTTCTCGGCCATGGTCATCGCCTCCCTTCTCTACACTTGCAAAACGTGGACCCCCCCGAATGGAACATCTTCGCCGGTTAGAAACATTTAGGCCGGCCTGCCTACGATCCATCCTGGGATTAACCAGGTTGGATTGTGTTAGGAGCTCACAAATCCTTGAAAGATCTGGACAAAGTCCCATCAGTGAGCTCCTCTGGCAGGCAAGGCTGCGTTGGCTGGGCCATGTAGCCCGCATGCCCAGTCACCGCATGCCTAAACAGGTTTTGTTCGGCCGGATCTTGGGGGCTAAACGGGCGCGGCACAAGAGATGGAGTGATGTGGTACAGGAGGATATGGAGCTGAGTGGACTTGCCGATGACTGGTACCAGCGGTGTCAAGATCGGCCACTGTGGAGGAGGCTTGTGAAGGACGCTACTGGGCAGTTGGAGGCAGTCGCCCTCCAACAACAACGGAAGGCAGAGGAGCGACGCTGACAACAACGAGCGGAGTGCCAGGTGGCTAAAGCACAGCAAGTTGGCACAGTAGGGGGCACAGGTGGTGCATCAGCCAGTCGTCTCGGTCAGTCGACCTGTGGCATCTGGGTCTGCCCGGTGACCTCCTGCCAGTGGGCGTTCGACACTTCACGTGGCCTCAAGGTGCACATAGCCTGGCACAAGCGTCGTGGTAACATCACCGTCACTTAGTGGCAAATGGCGTTTTTTTTTGTGTGAGTGAGCTGTGAGTGACAGTGAGCTGTGAGTGAGCTGTGTGTGAGTGAGCTGTTAGTGAGCTGCATCACTGACCAGCTGCTCCCTGCTGTGCCATCACATCCGCCACATCCTCACAGAGGCTCTTGGGCAGCCTCCGGATCTTCTGTTTCAGATCATCAAGCGTCCGCATGGGAGGGATGAAGGTGTCCACCTGGTACCTGCACAGCGCAGAGACACACCGTGGCAACGGCACCGTGACACTCGCATGGTAACTGCTGTTAACTATAACAACATGGTAACTGCTGTTACCTCTCACACCATGATAACTACTGTTAATTATCACACCATGGTAACTTCTGTTAACTCTAACACCATGGTAACTTGTTAACCTTAACACCATGATAACTGTTGCTAATCTTAACACCATGGTACCTGTTGCTAACCAAAACACCATAGTAACTGCTGTTAACCTTAACACCATGGTAGCTGCTGTTACCTATCACACACAAGAGGGTGAGTGGCGCGCACGCACTGCACGGTTAGCGCAGCGCGCGCGTGCTTCGTGGTTAGTGCGCGTGCCTCCTCCACGCCATCATGGCGTGGAGGAGGCCGCGATGGTGGGGGGGGAGGCCGAGATGGCGTGGAGGAGGTCGTGATGGTGTGGAGGAGGCCGAGATGGTGGGGAGAAGGCCGAGATGGAGTGGAGGAGGCCGTGATGGTGTGGAGGAGGCCGAGATGGTGGGGAGGAGGCCGAGATGGCATGGAGGAGGCCGTGATGGTGTGGAGGAGGCCGCGATGGTGGGGGGGAGGCCGAGATGGCGGGGAGGAGGTCGTGATGGTGTGGAGGAGGCCGAGATGGTGGGGAGAAGGCCGAGATGGCGTGGAGGAGGTCGTGATGGCGTGGAGGAGGCCGAGATGGTGGGGAGGAGGCCGACATGGCGGGGAGGAGGCCGAGATGGCGGGGAGGAGGCCGAGATGGCGTGGAAGAGGCCGAGATGGTGGGGAGGAGGCCGAGATGGCGGGGAGGAGGCCGAGATGGCGTGGAGGAGGCCGAGATGGCGTGGAGGAGGCCGAGATGGTGGGGAGGAGGCCGAGATGGCGGGGAGGAGGCCGAGATGGCGTGGAGGAGGCCGTGATGGCGTGGAGGAGGCCGAGATGGCGTGGAGGAGGCCGAGATGGCATGGAGGAGGCCGAGATGGCGTGGAGGAGGCCGAGATGGTGGGGAGGATGCCGTGATGGCGTGGAGGAGGCCTAGATGGCGGGGAGGTCGAGGTGGCGTGGAGGAGGTTGTGATGGTGGGGGGGAGGCCGAGATGGCGGGCAGGAGGCCGTGATACACTCTCTCATCTTACACTGACTAACTCACACATCACACACTCACTCACACTACCACTGACTCACACATCATACACTGACTCACTCATCATACGCTCACTCACACATCATACACTCACTCACACTACCACTGACTCACTCACACATCATACACTGGGAGTGTCATGCTGCCAGAAATGGCTGCAAGTTTGGTCGTACGTAATAATAGGGTTTTTCCACTTTTTTCTGGCAACAAAACTGAAACCTTTTTACGAGTGTAATGCGAGCGTAAATGGGGTTGCTGCTGGACTCTGGCCCAATCACACGACCCGAGTATTGGGGGCGGAGCCCGGTATGGGGGGCGTGTGAGAGGGGCCGCCGTTCACCTCGGCTCCAATGGGAAGCGAGGTGAATGGAGGTGGAGGCAGCAGGGCAGTATGGGAAGGCCGGATCTGACGATCCGGAAGGGAGGAGTCAGGGTCACGTGGGAGAGATGATATAGAGGGGAGCCCGGAAGAGATCGAGGCCAGTTGATGGAGTGAGGAAGCGGGACCACGTTGGGTGGCCGCCGCGCCATCAGCCACGTGGCTGATGGGGCTTCGGCACACCATCGGCCAGCGGTGTGCGGAGCGGGAGAAGGAGCTGACAGAGGAGCGTGCATGGCACGCGAGAGGAGCGTGCGTGGCACGCGAGAAGAGCGTGCGGGGCACGCGAGAGGAGACGCTGGTCCCGTGTCAGGACCAGCGGGGTGTGAGGACGAGTGGAGGAGCTGAGGAGGAAGTGCGTGCGCGGAGCGCGCGTGAGACGACGCTGGTCCGTGGAGGAGACCAGTGGGGTGCGGAGAAGAACCTGAATAAAAGACAAGCGGAGACCAGCAGTGCCTGACGGAGTCTTTTATTACACGAGGATTAATGTCTGCATTAACCACAATACTTGCAGTCAAAATGCAAAAAAAAACACACTATGATAATATATGCATTGTCTTTGAAACTGATTGGTCCACACCAAGGGACGGCTTTCTTTTGATCCTCGACCCAGTTGGTGCTCGACCAGAGGACGCCAAAAGGCGCACAGCTCAAAGACAATGCACTATCAAAGTAATGAGGGCTTGGGGTGAGCATCTACATTATTAGACCTCCTTTGCCAGTCTTGATTGATTGTGTTCACGTTTACGGTGACTTTCAGACCACATTCCATTATCTTTCTCTCCCCCCTCTGTTCCGAGCATAGATGGACTTGTCCATATGAACAACCGTTAGTCGTTGCCCGTGGTGCTAACGTTTAAAAAAAACGCCACTTTTTTCAAAAAAATTATTGCTGTGGTTTTCACACCTGATGATGATTGCTTGTGTTGCAATCGAAACGTCGTGAGAATTGTATTGTTTTATTTTTATGATTTTATTATTTCCCTTCTACGTGACTTTACCGAAAGAACCAAGAAGATGAATCCCTGCAGTCACGAAAGCTTTAAATCGAAAAATGGGAACTGTTATTAACCTTAACACCATGGTAACTGTTGTTGCCCCTAACACCATGGTAACTGTTGTTAAGCTTAACACCATGGTAACTGCTGTTACCTATCACACCGTGGAAACTGCTGTTACTTCTTAAACCACGGTAACGGCTGTTACTTCTTACACCATGGTAACTGATGTTAACTGTCAGACCATGTTAACTGCTGTTACCTCGGAAACCATGATAACTGCGGTTAACTGTCACACTGTTAACTGCTGTTAACTCTCACATGATACATGCTATTACCTCTAACACCATGGTAACTGCTGTTAACTCTCACAAAATGGTAACTGCTGTAACCTCTAACACTGTTCACTTCTGTTAACTGTAACACCATGGTAACTGCTATTACCTCTTACACCATGTTAGCTGCTGTTAACTCTCACATGGTAACTGCTGTTCCCTCTCACGCCAATGTAACTGGTGTTACCTCTTGCACCATGGTAACTGCTGCTAACTCTCACAACATGGTAACTGCTGTTAACTTTCACATGATACATGCAATTACCTATAACACCATGGTATCTGCTGTTACCTCTAACACCATGGTGGGGTAGAGGGTGTCGTGGAAGGGGTCGTGGAAGGGGTAAGGTAGGAGGTAGTGGAGACGGTAGTGGTGAGGGTAGTTGAGGGGGTGGTAGAGGAGGTAGTGGAAGGGGTGGTGGAGGGGGTGTTGGAGGGGGTAGTGGTGGGGGAAGTGGTGGGGGTAGTAAAGGGGTTAGTGGTGGGGGTAGTGGAGGTGGTATTGGAGGGGGTAGTGGAAGGGGTATGGTAGGGGGTAGTGGAGGGTGGAGGGGGTAGTGGTGGGGGTAGTGGAGGTGTTGTATCCTAACCCTTCTTCCAAAATTGAGATTAATCATATTTGATGAGATTTTTATATATTATCTTTTTACTTGTTTTTTTAATGAATGAAACACACCAAAGCGCAGCAAAATGCAAAACACCAGGTGTTGTTAAGTAATGAACTGGAGGAGGGCTAGGATGGCAGAATTTGCAACCTTGCTTCAAGGAAAGATAAGGCCTGATGAACGGGCACATGTCACCCGTGCAAGGGCAGAGACAGTGGGAGTGTCAGCCAGACATAGTTAAGGCAAAAAGCCCAACCATCCTGCATGGTTTTAAAGTAACGTCAAAATTCGAAATTCAACAACAGAGTAGGCTAAATTATCGATCCTCGCGCTCGCTCAAATTGGAGACCAGGCTGCGAGCTACATCAATGAACCATTGCCCATTTGCTAATCCAATACTGAATGTTAATATTACTGAAGTCAAAACGAATTCTATGACCTCAGCACATGGGCAAATAATAGGGCAGTGTCGACTCAAAGGCAATGGAAGAAAACAGAGGCGCCTTTGTCTAAATCACAACCACAGAAAGCCAGGAATCATCACTGATTGTGTGTTAGGGATTCCGAGCTAGTTAGAACACGTGCACACAGGGGGGAGGTAGAAGTACGCCTTGTCCTCCTGCAGCTGAGGGAACAAAGATAAACAAGTGGGTCAGCTCAAGGCTGTGTGCACAGGGGAGGGAGCTGATTTAAACAACCCTGCACGTCTGAACGTGAGGGGGCCTTTGTCCTGAAATTAAGAATAACACTCCCAGAGCAGAAGGTTGGATGGCCACAGCTGATTTAAAAGAGTGTTGTATATCTCTCAAGGAGGCAGACCCAGCTGAACAACAAGGCTGCGGGGGTCACCAGAAGTTCGCGTTCGCCTAGTTAAGACAAAAAGCTCAATTATTCTGTATTGCTATTAAAGTAACGTTAAAGTCGGAATTTAACAACAGGGTAGGCTAAAGTTATTGATATTCACACCCACTCCAATTAAACCAGGCCACAAGTTACGCCTACTGAACCATCACCATCATTAAGTCAATATGAAATGTTATTTCCATACTTTAATACTTTCTATACAACTCGACCCGAAGCATATGCATGAAAAGACAAAAGTAAAACTTATGAAAAGCCAGGATAACGGGATGAATCACCACCAGGTCAAATATAATACATAATATAAAAACGATGTTAAACCCAGGGTCGGAGAGAAAGGGAGATCCCGGCCGTCTTTGTATCCCCGCAGCGCGGGATAGGAGTGTGTATACGCTCGGGGAAACACCTCCACTTGAGTCAAGCACCACGATGGGAAACGACAGACCTTAGGTTACATACAGAATCATAACTGTGAAATAGTAAGGGACAAATGTTAACTTAAAACTTTTTAACCATTTCTTTGTGCGCCGGGTCGGAGAGAGTGTTGCCCCCCCCTCCAGGTTGTGCGAACAAAGACGCCTATGAGACGATTTGTAACGTCTGTGTTTTGGGTTCATGAAGAAGGCCAAACAAGAGATACTATTGCACCCAGACAGAGAGACGACCTCGAGGCAATTTGTA